TGAAATGAGAGATCACATCTTTGAACTCCTGGGTAGTAGCTTTTTTGCCCGATGGAAAGAAAGACATCAGGTTCAATTGCTTAAAGAATTTGTTCTAATATTAGTTTCATTCTTTACAGTCATATTTTTATGCATTCTTGAAATATACTTTTTTGTAACTTTTGTTTTCATATTTTTCCTATGATTGAACTCCATCTTCAGATGATAGATTGATTCAAATTGAGGATTTGGATTGTGAATTACATTTTACTTCCTTTTGAAAAATGCTATCAATTCTCAAGTAATAAACTGTCTTTAAAACCCTTGTGTTCTTGGTATTGAAAATAATGTGAAAATATTAAATTTATCTCAAACCACCTTCGATGGCAAAAATGAATTGTTATCTATAATTTCAGACAAATAAAAGGGATCAGAAAATATTTCATGGTGCCTTGCATTTTCTTTTTTCTTCTTCATCAATAATATTAGGTTAATGTAATTCATAATCAAATTAACAGGAAGTTTTATTGTTGACACTCAATTTTGGCTCTCCATATTTAATTAATTAAGCTTCTGTGAGTAATAGTAATAAAAAATAACAAAATTTTTATGGGAAACAGTATGAAAATATTTTTGAAAAACTTTTTCATTCCATTTGGAAAATTTATTTTATAAATATTGTTTCTTATAAAAATTAAATATATAAATAAATATTTACTACTTTACCATTTTTTAATTTATATCAAGTAAATATCATTCTTAATGGTTAAATCAATTTTTTTATTAAATATAATTTCTATCGTTGCAAATAAATATTTTTCGTATATTATTCAAAATTAGGAAGCTTAAATAATTAATAAGTTACTAATTCATACAATTTTATTTTAAGAATGACCAATTTTGTCAAATAAGTTAATCTTGTAAATTGATTTTTTTTTCAATTTAATTAATTATTGCTACTTAATAATGAAAGGGGTTATAGTTTAAATAGGCTATTTGAGCTAAAACTTGGCATTCCAAGTCTCCTAAAATTGGTCAAACCATGTGTGTTATGTAGGAAACACATGGATTGTGTGTTTCTTCATCTTTAATTTCAGCCTTTTAATTTGATCTAATGGTCCTTGTTAATTCAGTTTTTACACACACACACACAAATATATATATTATATTTCTTATTTTTAATTCCTGATTAATATTGACCGTCAGATCAAACGATTAGACAACTTAATCTTGCTGAAAAATCTCACCTTTTCTTGATTTAAAATGAAAGTTGTGGTTTCGCGAAAATACTGCTGATGATGGCAGAAGAAAAAGAGAGAGGGAGCGGCGAGGTGACGGGCGGCAATTTGAAGGAAGAGGGAGTAGGACGTGGATGTCTATCCTTTTTTGGGCAAGGAGGAATTTAGGGGTATGGGAAAGGTAGAAAAGATTAGGGGTGTGGGTTTGGAGAAGAAAGAAGAACGAGTTTCTTTTTGGGGAAGAATAAGAGTATAGGGTCGGTAGGTGTATTGATTATAGGAAAAAATTATTTGATTTAATTTGGGCCATTTGATCGGACAATCTCAATATATATATAAATAAAGGGTAAAGGGCTGAATTAATGAGGACCATTAGATCGAATTAAAGGGTTGAAATTAAAGATGAAGAAACACACAATACATGTGCTTCCTACGTGGCACACATGGATTGACTGATTTTAGGGGACTTTGGATTGCCAAGTTTTTGCTCAAATTAGCCTATTTAAATTATAACCTCTTTATGAAATAACAATAATTAATTAAATTGAAAATAATCAGTTTGCAAGATTAACTTATTTGACAAAATTGGTCATTCTAAAATAAAATTTGTATGAATTAATAACTATTTAATTATTTAAGCTTCCTAATTTTGAATGATATACAAAAAAATATTTATTTGCTACAATAGAAATTATATTTAATAAAAAAATAATTTAATCCTTAAGAACAATATTTGTTTGATATAAATTAAAATTGGTAAAGTATTAAATATTTATTTGTATATTTAATTTTTATATGAAACTATTTATGAAGTAAATTTGCCGAATGACATGAAAAAGTTTATCAAAAACATTTTCATAGACTAAGTCAACAAAAGAACTTTATTTGGTGGCATGATTAGGCTATATGCAGACACATTAGTTATTTGAGCCAATTAATTTTGATCCGTATTTTCATGTAAAGTGGTGTATTAGCTTGTGTTCTTATGCGGATCATGCTGCTGAGGTTCCTGTGAGTTATGATCCTCAAGAGTAACACATATAAACAGAATGTAGCAAAATACACAAAAAAGAAGAAGCTTTGCCAAACACTAATTTGATGCTCAAAAGTGCCTTTTAAATTTATTGGCCAAACACAAACTGTTTCTCAATAAAAGTACTGTTTTGAAAAGCACTTTTGAAAAAACTGCTTTCCAAAATAAGCTAATTTTAGAATCCTTTCCAAATATACTTCTTCCAAATTGTCACCGAGTAGTTTTTCTATTTGTTTGTAAAAATAGAACATTGAAAAACTGAGTTTGTAATTTTGGCACTATGTTTGTGCTCTTATGCATAAGACATTCTTACAATTCTAAATAAAAGTAGTCTTTTTATTTCTACTTGGGTAGATTATGAATCACATCTGGTTTGGTCATTTTCTTTTTTGCTGGGTTATACCTCATTCAGTTGGGGTGACCAAACCTTTTACTTTTGGTGAAAATGTCTCCAAGTACTAGGTTACTGTTTTAGCTGAGAGGTATGACAAATGCTAGCCAACTAAGTTTCAGTCTTTTGATAACTTTAGTGTCAAAAGTTCACTTTAATGGCTGAAACAGGAGCATTTACTCACCAATGAATGATCATATGAATGATTGTTGGATAAGGTCTTATCTATGTCATAAAAATTTCAAAAAATGTTTCAGGCACTTATTCATTCATTACCCTTTAGGTGGGTGTGTCTCTAGGCTCTCTTTTTTTAAATAATTTGTTTGTAGGCTTTTTATGCACTCTCCTCTTATAATGCTTATAGTTAGTGGTAAATTGTTGTATGGTGCTTCAGTCTTGGTGATTAATTAGATGATGTTTCTTCATGATAAACATGGAAAAAAAGAAATAATTTTGACAAGTTGATGTATCTTGGTAATATTGTAGGTCAAGTACACTTTTGTTAAAGGGGAGATTAAGCTTCTGATGCCACCCACATATTCTGTTGTCATTCAGGTATATTCTGTCTTGCTCTCATTCCCTTTTTAACTGCGATCTTTCCTTGAAAGTTGTTTCTTGTTCATAGTTGACTATACAAATGACTGTTGAATTCTAATTACTATGTCAGCATCTCAATTATGTCTTTCTTCGTGTCTCCAATTTTTCAGTTAATGCCAATATGTATTTTCTTGGTATTTTGGGAAAGAAAACAAATTGAGCATGTTGGGTTTCATCTGATCTTAATGTCAGATGATAAACTAAGAGATATCTATAGCACATAGATATAGGCTCTCACTTCCATGATCCAGCCGACAATGTGATTGATGCTTGATAGAGTGGTTTGAAAGGGTTACATCACGCAGATGAAGCCATACAGTTTTTTATTGTCTTTTTACCAAAAAAATATAAAGGTGACGGATTTTTTTTTGTTGCTGATTTGTGAGTTAAAATGATCAAGATGTCTAACCATTGTTACCTCACATAAGCGCATTACTACTTCTGTCTATTCTTGGGAGCTTGATCTTTTTCCTTAACTTGCATCTTACAACATATTGGATATCCCATCACAAGTTTCTGCGTGACATAACTTTAAATTGTTTGGACTGGTAAACCAAAAATGATCTATTATGAACTTATATTAAAAAAATAGATCTATTATGACCTATTGATTGATTCTTAGTTACATGTCTATCTATAATTTCAGCTTTCAGTTAATGTGATAACTTTCTAGTATTCTAGTCTTTGGATATTTACATCTCATATTACTATATGTCTATTTCAGGAATCCAAGATTGGGTCATGGCATGTGCCTCTGGCAGGTGAGGTGGTTGAGGAGTCTTCAAGGACTTGGCTCTGCATCACCAGACAAGCTTCATGTGAATCTGACAATAAGCAACATGCAAGCGTAGTTGAAGCTTCTCAAGTTAGTGAACTTAATCAAATTGCAGCCTCTTGCCATTCAGGTAGTTTTACAAGTCAGAATGGCGGCAGCTTAAATAAATGTTCTGGTTTGGCTGGTAAGAGGAAAGAGAGGTCCCCTTCTCCAACTCCATCTCACTCCAGTCTACAATCTTGAAAATTTGAAGGTGATACCTTTTCCAGAACCCTACAAACTGCATGCATTACCTGGTCAAGTTGCTCAACTGTTTTGTTGCGGAGCTTTTTATTTTTTTTTTTCTTTCTAAATTAATGAATTGGAGGAGATTTTACTGGTCGGCATGTTCCTCAAATGAACACATTAAGGGCTTTTCTGTCCATGTGAGATGAAATTATGATCTGAAATCATATGAGATGATGTTGAAGTTTTATTTGGGCATGCACTTTGGATTTCTTAGTTGTATTTTTTGCTCATAAACATAAAAATCCTGAAGTTGTAAAAATTATCAAAATTGCCCCAATTCTTTATACAATCTTTTACCAAACAAGCTTCACAACAGAAGTATATGATGATACTATCACAAAACTATTCTAAAAAAAAAACACAACATTTATTGATTGAATTTGGTTGGTAAGAGTAATAATATCAGCTATAAATGATTTAAAGATTCGTAAGAGTAATAATATCAACCATAAATTTGGTTGGTTAGAGTAATGATTATATGATATAAATGGTTTAAAAGTTGGTAAGAGTAATAATATCAACTATAAATTCTTGCTTACATATGAAATAAATAGTTGGTAGTTATAAAATGATGGTTAGTCGTGGTGTTTGCAATTTGGCATCCCAAGTTTTTCTATGTTGAGGTTAGTCGTCTGTCTGTCGCTTGGTGCTGGTGTTTCAGAAGAGGTTGTAGACAAGACACATAAAGAAGAAGACAGCTTGGGAAATACAGAGTCTTGTATAGGAACAACAAATTAAAATGGATACACTGAAAATAATAAGCAACAAAGGATATATGGTACTTAATAACCACCCACATAGAAATGTCAATTATTTATTAGGAAATAACAAATTTCTTTTCTACTTCATTCACTTCAATACATATTTTACCACTCCAGGAATGTGAGTGTTCCTAAAATAGTCTTCCCAGTTGATGCTCTTGGGATTAAAATTGAACACATCTGTTTCAATTCCTGACTCCTTCGCTGCTCTGCGTAACTTTTCTGTGTTCATGTCATCATATCTGTCACAAAATTTTACATGGTGAGAGGGATTGATTATATTACATACAAAATATAAAGACTAAACTGTGTATGTAAATTAGATCTTATAGAGGTTAGTAGTTTACTTACACTCCCTTGAAGAATAAATAAGGCTCATAAAGATCTATCAACCGCATCACAAACTTGATTTTCCTGTCAAGCTCTGAATATTTGTCTTGAAAGAGTTGGCAGAGTATTGTGTTAAGTATTTCTAATCCCTGTAGAACAACACTTGATGTTTAAATATTAGGAGGAGGAACATATATAGTTCATTTATCACAGTGTTTCGAACAAACCTTTAAAGGAAGCATGTAACGAAGGGCCATGTATCTGCGAAAGCTATCCATGCTACTCAAAACATTAACTTTGCCAACAATGACTGGTTTTCCTTGCTTGTCAATCCATGGATGCTCTTTGAAGTAACGGAAGGCATTCTCCTGAGGACATGCGAACGTTACTGGATTTGAAACTGATGTTCCAACATGGTATATTATTTGACTCCCTCTTTGATCTGCATGAGCCATCATTGTTACTATCATTGCATTCACCACCATATCTGCTGGAATCTGCATGCACATAATTAAGTTTTACATTTCAACATTATTTGTTGTTGAATGCTCAGCTATAATGAGAAGATCGTTACTACTTACTAGATCAATGATGGCTTCAGGATCTCCGAGGAAGCATGTGAGTTTTCCTTTACCATAGCCAACGGCTAAACTGTCAATGGTTCTGTAGAGGAACCATTTTTGTGTAAACATAAAAATCATTGGTAGCTATAGTATGTGAATATTTATATGTATACCTTATGCCTTCAACCCAACCTGGGAAAGGGTCTTGGAGAGTACTAGTAACAATAGTAGGACGAAAAATGACAAGAGGTACATCTTCTTTCAAGTCTCCCAATATCATCTCAGCCAATGCCTTTGTGAATACATAGGGGTTTGGCCATCCATACTTCCTTGCTCTTCATAAAACAAAGCTCCACTTGTTACATATATCTCATCTTGTGACAACAGACGAGAGGATTTGAAGTTTTTGTGTTTCAATAGCAATCTCATGTTATAAGGTACCAATAACTAAATCATAACTATGGTTTAGTGAGGAGCATAATATGTGAAGACGTGTGTCTTGTATTCATATAAATACGGGGTGCAAGTAAATTAAATTAATACAATACCTTTGAAGGCCAAGCTCCTTCATGGCTGATGTTATAGATTCTTGAGAAGAACCCTCAAGTCTGAGCTGTTTCAATGTTTCCTCCATAACTTTCTTCTCTGTATAAATATCTAGTCCTGATGTACCATTCAAAGTCTCACCCAAATTATAGGGTGTTTCCAATATTAACCCTCTTTTTTCCCCTGATACATATGCTAAACAAATACAAATACAAAATAAAATGTCATTTATGAAATCAACCATGAAGAAGAGTTATTATAATTTAATAGAAAAATTATTGCTAATTGCCCCCAATGGAGAAGCAAAAATATTCTAATAAAGACGTTCCTCAGTAATATCATCATTATTTGGTAAAAATAATAATAATAATAATAATAGAAGGTACCAATTACCAGTTGATACGTGAAGAAGAACCTTTAATTTACTACACTTTTTGGCAAAGTTGAGAACGTTTATAGCTCCAAATGTATTGAGTCCCAAGGATACATCATATCTAAAAATTGAAGAACAAAATAAAACAGTGATCAATTTGCATTTAGATAGATATACGTTATCAAACAAGTTATTTTACTAATTTCACTTATTATGAACAGTTAGTTATTCGGACCTTTCATCGAAATTTGTAGTTGCAGCTAGGTTAACAACAACATCTACTTCCCTCCACATTTCTTCCAGCAAATTACTGTCTTTGACCCCCAAGTTTTCAAATGTGATATCACCAGGTATAATCCTGGTCCTTTCTGAAATTAAAGTGTTCAAATTTGCCCCATGTTTTTCCCTTAGAAGCTTGAACAAGTCCTTTGCCACTGCCTGTTCATCATTAAAAGATGAAAAAATTGATGTATACAAATAAGTACTAGAGAAATATTACTATACCATTTAATTTTGCATTTAGTAATTGTACCATGTACTAATGGGCTTTACCTTTTTTATTTTATTTTATCATATTCTTATTTTTCCAATTGTTTCCTAACTTTCTCACACTACAACAAAAGAGATATTTAGTGGAAAAAAAAATTTGTTCTATTTATTGCCGCAAAACATTTGAGTTAATGTCATTGCATCCAGATTCGTTAAAATCTTTATCAACATTTGTATAAAGTGATGATTATACATACTCATATTATATTATTGCCACTAAATATAACATAGCAACAACTGTATTATTGTCATTAAATATAACATATCGACAATTATATTATTGACATTAAATAGTTACCATAAAATCCTTTTTTTGTTGAAGAGCGAGGCAAAGGAAGTCAAAAAAATATTTTAGGGGTTTGTCCTTTAATTCGTGAAATAGGCCCTCACAAAGAGAAGAAATTGACAGGGCGCTTATACCCTTATTTTGTGCTGGTCTTTGACTTATATGTTTCGTAACAATAAAAATAGTAAAGTAGATGTCAAAGACCAACGCAAAATAAGGGTATAGTCCTTCCAATTATGCCAAATATAACTTCATATTGTAAAATACGTATGCCTCACTAAACAATATTTCAATTGTTAAATGCAAAAAAAATAAGAAGAAAAGAAACATTACATAAAATGAGAATAAGTTAAAAGATCAAATCGAACTTATGATAAGGAGTGTGACTTGTTGTACGAATATAATAAATTTAATTAAATGAATATCCGTCCAGTTAGGTGATAACTTGGTAGCACCACAAGAAAAAATAGAAGATGAAATAAATAAAAGGAAATTGATGAAAAATATATATAGTACGGCAACCCTGAAAATCCGAGTAATAACTAGATATTCCTTTTTATTAAAAATAGTTTCTTTTCTTAAAGTTCAAATTAAATGAATATCTCATTTGATTCTTTACTTTTCTTGCTTCGTGTTAAATTTATCTGTATCCGATATTTATATAAGTAAATACCAAAAGTAAGTTATAACAAGTGTTTATATACCGACTTTTAGCATTTTATCATGATTATAACATGAATTTTCACCACATTAAATCATTTAATTAAATTAATATAATTTGATATATATAACTTCTGGGTACGAATAAATATTTACCAAATAATACTAATGTAGTTTGCAATGTTTTAGGTTTTCATCTAGCAACGATCATAAATTTATAATTGAAAAAGAAATGGTACGTTGGAAATTAAAATGATAATAATTTTGTGTAATCTTTTCAACAAATCTATATTAAAACTAGTACGAGGAGGAAGAGGAGAGAATGTAGTGTATAGTCAATTAGTTCAAATCACAACATTTTCAACATAATTAAAGGAAAATTTGTTTTGAACTTATAATTTTAAAAGTTTTCATATTTAGCCTATTCGCAAGCAATCATTTCGTGATCACAACATTTTCAACATAATTAAAGCAAAATTTGTTTTGATCTTATAATTTCAAAAGTTTTCATATTTAGCCTATTCGCAAAATCGTTTTGTGATCTCAAATATTTCACTTCTCCGACATTTTACTATATTTTTTGCTATTTTTTTTTGCAAAAACCCACTCCACGGTTATAGTAATAGGCTCAATGGTATAAATTCAAAAGTTAAATATAACAAATTTAAATTCTGAATCCACTTTTTTATAATAGTACACCTATCTTCTTAAAATTCTGCATCCGATCGATGGTCTCATTCTCCTTTACATGGTGTTGAATAATTATCATCTCATGAACATTATTTTTAGGTTGAACTAAGTGCAACATCCATTTTCTAAATCGTTAGAAATATCTGGTAATAATTTATTTTTCATGAAAAATTAAACATATGCTTTTAGTAGCTAGGGAGTACTTTACCTTTAAAGTCAAATTCTCATACATGAATTCAAATAAGTCGAACTTCAGATAACGTGGCCGAAAACCAAAAAATAATATGCACGTACCTCATTGTTGAAACGCTGCAAGGCTGCGTTGTTATCTTGAGCTCTTAAAAGCAAATACAGCTTCTTCACATTTGGTTGTACTCGAAGTATCTTCTCCACAAAAACTATAACCAAAAAGGAAAAAAAATTAAAATTTTTAAACACCCCATCAATTAAGATTAAAAATTAATGATAAGATATTAATAGAGAATAATTACTTTTTGCAAGAAATCCAGTAGCACCAGTAACAAGAATGGATCGATTTTCAAGAAACTTAAGAACACTTGTTAACTCCATTAGTATTAGTATGATGAAATAAAAATCAAGAAATATAAGATAAAAAGACAAGAAATAACTTTTCAATTAGTAAGGAAACAGAAGTTGCCAGGAGAATGCACAATTGAGCAAATTTAGAAATAGGGTGCATTTATTTTTATAATAAAAAGGGGACACTCATAGATGACACAAATAGAAATGAGTGCACGAAAGTAAAGTTGTTGATAATTTCTTTGGTAGATTGGAAAAAAATAATGCTACTATATAGTATTATTTTTTAATTTATTTTTTTTCACATATCAAGGTATGGTCCAGGGAAAACTGAACTAACTGTATGAATTCAGTCTAATTTAGTGTGTCTATTTATAGATTTTCCCCACCTTTGTTCTCCCTATTTTTTTCTGTTTGCGGGAGGTCAAATCAATATTCGGCGTAGTTTGACCCCGTTGGGACATGATTTGAAATTATATTGCATTATTATTTGAATTTTTAAAGTTGTATATATATACCTACGATTGTGAAAATTATCAAAGCTTTTTTAACGCTTATACAATCTTATCATATGAACAAATCATATAGTTTATAAATAAGGTATCAGAATATTTTAAGGTGTCGCATTAATAAACTATATATCTTTATATTTTTTCTTTTATGAGTACATGTTTACGATTACATATTATTACAAACTTTCAAATACATAATTTACAAACTTTCCTTGATCCAAAAAATCAATAGTAGTAACCAACTATTCTTTAATATAATTTTTCCAATATCGAGTATGAGTCTTCTTTTTTTACAAAATTTAAAATAACGAATCTTTCTTTTTGCAATAAATTTTTGAGTCAAATATTACATTTATATAAGAAAAAAAAAATTGAAATCGCAACTTGTTATTCGAACAATTATCTTGCATAATAAATAACTATAATCTATTTTCACATAAAAATAAATACAGAAAAATATTATTTAAAGATCAGCTGCATGCAGAGTTTTCTTTTTCCTTCCGGTGTCCATCGCCTGCCCAATATCCATATTAAATCCTATTTATAATTGAATTTATGTTGCGTAAAGCTCTACTTTACTCAAATTTATGCGGAGTTACCACTTTGTACAATTTCTTGGTGTCCAAAAAAAAAAGAAAAAGCAACATCTTAAAGAGGAAAGAGAAAAGAGTACTCTCTCCGGTTCAATATTTTGCTGTCATGGTACTTGTAAATAATTGGTTTTAAATATTTTTTATTTCAAAATATTAAAATAGAACTAATTGTATTTTTTTCATCTTTATAATTATTATAATAAATGTAGAAAGTGATTCTACGGACAAAAATATATAATACAAAAAGAAAATATACATTTAAAATAGTACAACTATTCCAGATAATCATATGTTAATTAGAAAAATTTATCTTCTCTTTCAATTTTAATTTTCTGAAACGCAGTACTTATTTGGTGATCCAATCTTTATTTTATTTTTAATTTAGAAAAGTGGAGTTTCCGTGAAGGTACACAAGTAATTAAATCTCCACTGACTTATATTTAATTTGAGGGTTATTGTGGTAGTTGCTCCAATTTAATTAATTGTCAAGTCGGTAGGGTCAGTGTAGTTTGGAAAATTTGATTGCCTTTTTAAAATTATGTCTACATTCTTTTAATATTTTCAACAATCGGAAAATTTTATCTTATATTTTATGTTATATGTGTCAAATTAGAAAAGGTCTAATTTCAAAGGTTCAATAGATTAGTATTCTATATTCTTACTTCTTTAGTGTATTAAGTTCAATATGGAGTTGCACAATATGAGTGACATTTAATTGACCAATTTATCCTTTAAATGAGTTGATTTTAAAATTTTATCTTTTAAATGGGTTGATTTTTAGTTTTTGCCCTTAGCAATCAAACATATGCCTAAAGGGACATAAGTTCTTTAAGGGCACGAAACATAACTTGTGGAAGATTATGATGTGAAAATATAAACTTATATCCCGTGAAAAAGTTATTTGCCATGAGGAAACAATCAAAATAGTCCTTAATATATATATATAGCTTTATTTTAGTCTTTAATATATCAAATAATCTTTAATATAAACAAATGATGTTCATTTGAGTCTATTGCCTATGCCTAACAGATTTGTCAAAATAGGATGATAAATCTGTAACTATAAGCCTCACATAGCTAACAAAATTTACTATTATCTTATTTATCAGCTCCGAAAAAGAACTAAATGAAATCTAACAATATTTTTCTTAACTTTCTTTAAAAAAATATTTCTTTTTTAAAACATTATTTTATTTACCCTTTTTTCTTTGTTTGCTCAAAATCTCAATCAAAATTTTCATATCTAATCCAAATAATCCAACTCAGGGGCGGAGCCAACAATATTGTTAGGGGGTTCATTTAAATCCGCTTGACGGAAAATATTACTACAATTTATAAATAATTAAAATTATTTTATATGTATATATAGTAGGTGTCAAATTTCCTTTGATTAGTTCGTGTGTTTACTTCTTCAGATTTTGAATTCCCTTATTAAAATTTTTAGCTCCACCACTGATCCAACCACCGCCTCTAATCAGTAGGGTTAGCTCATAACTCTGCACTATTATATTTTTGGTCCTATTATTTTGTCTGTCTTTAATTTTTGAATATACATCCTATGATCCTAAGTATTATCTTTGTGGTCATATATTATTGTGTCATCGTGTACATATATGGTTGTACGTATTACGTAACGAGAAAATAAATTATTTTTTTGAAGCTACTCTTAGAATTAGTAGCATTAATTGTTTTATTATTAAAAGTCACGAACCGCATAAAAAATAAAAGAAAAAATGGAATTGATAAGTCAAATTATCCTCTTATTAATATTTTCTTAACGAATATATAAAAAGAAAAAAATTGAATAAATATGTCGAATAACTGATCTTATTTAATGAATATATACAACTTTATTATCCTCTTATTAATATTTTCTTAACGAATATATAAAAAGAAAAAAATTGAATAAATATGTCGAATAACTGATCTTATTTAATGAATATATACAACTTTATTATCCTCTTATTAATATTTTCTTAACGAATATATAAAAAGAAAAAAATTGAATAAATATGTCGAATAATTGATCTTATTTAATGAATATATACAACTTTATTATCCTCTTATTAATATTTTCTTAACGAATATATAAAAAGAAAAAAATTGAATAAATATGTCGAATAACTGATCTTATTTAATGAATATATACAACTTTATCATGACAAGTTGACAACGAAATGAGAATAAAGGGAGTACAACATAGTGCTTGATATGTATTTCTATTTATAGCATTTGATTAAATAGATATAAAAAATAAAGATTAAAATTTGTGATTTGAAGTATGCTTTAAATATTTATTAGACTATATATAAACTCTTATTAAGGAGTAGATGATTTAAAAAAAAATATCAATTAATAGTGAATAGTGTGATAAAATAATTGTATCGATAATTATTTTTTTAATAAACGTGTCAAATCTGAATGTGATAAGTATAACGGAAAAGGGTCAAAATTGCCCCTGAACTATGTGAAATAGACCACTTATACCCTCCATTACATTTTGGGATCAAAAATACCCCCGCAGTTATCCCAGGAGACCACAAATACCCTCAAGAGTTAACACCCCAATTTTTTAGTGACGTGGCAAGCCACATGGGACTAATCCCTCCACCTAAGCATTGCCAACTAAGATTCACTACAAAAGAACCTGACTTTTAGTGGCGACAAAGTCGCCACAAAATCCCAAAATATTGCCACTAAAGGTTATGAGTGATTTTTAGTGGCGACTAAGGCTCCAACAACCATTCGCTAGTAAAACCTATTTTTTCAACAAAAAAATATGATAATTAATTTTCAATTGCGACCTAATTTTCTAAAATAAATAACTTGCAATATCCATATTAAAAACATCCAATATTATTACGAAAAATAATCAAAATTACTTCTCGATTCAAATCTCCTACT